TATATATATATATATATATATATATATATATATATATATATCTTCTCCTTTGTGGACAACCTACTCAAAATGCCTCCATAATTCCAATGATCTCTATAAAGTTTCATTGAAAATTTCTATCCAACACTTAGTTTTTGAACCTCATTGTTCTCCACCACAACTCATTGCTAAACTCCTTGTACCTCATTGTTCTCCTCCACAACTCATCTTTCAACTTTCTAATTGAGTAGTTTGTCCTACATCACATATGCACAAGAAACAAGTATTTCCAGTAGAAGCTAGCAACAACCAAAAAAAAAAAAAATCCTATTTTTCAGTTGATACTTACCTTTGCCTGTGAACTTCTAGCAGTATGCCCATTTGATAAATCATCTCTTTGAGCTTTGCAAGTTCCTGAACATGGATGAGAGAACTCTTTTGTGAGAGAACCATCTTTTGTGAAAGATTTCTTAGGGGATGTCTTGTTACTACTGCCCTTTATCACTCTCTCAAGAGGAACAGTTCGAATCTCTGTGTCACTATCATCTTCAAGAAAAGGTGGCAATGGTTCTTTAGAAGTTGATCCTTTTGTGTTCTTTGTTCCATTTTCCCCTTTATCATTCATGTGTGCATTCCCATGTTTGGGGTCAACTGTTTTAAGAGATCGTTCAGGCTCTCTTCTTCTGCTTGGGGAGGCAGCTTTTTCTGAATGCTTTGATCGGTGAGGAAGATACTCAGGTGAAGACTCTGCAAAATTAAATTGGTCAGAAAAAAAAAAACAACATGAACAACTGACAATTAAACGAAATACCATTTAACTAGCAACCTCCACTTGCAGACTCAACAAGCTTCTTTTGACGCCGAGGAGCATAGCCAATTTTATGACAGTTGGTGGACCTAAATCAAATAGTGGTTTGTAGTTAATTCATTAAAGAAACATTGAAACCCAAGTCAAAAAATATTCGAGAACAAACCAGTAATTTTTTTGCATCTGTACTAATCGTGCCTCGAGTCTTGAAAGAACCGTAGTACGTTCAAATCCTTGTTTATCATGAGCTGGTTCAACAAAATTAGCTTCCAACACACCTGTAGCGAAATGAAATTGCATTAGAAATGACCCTAGTCTCAGATAATTAGATCAATGTCTGAAAAGTACAAAAGAATACCTATAACTCCCCGACCATCACTCCCTGCAGCATTCCAGACCCTCCAGAATGGCTGAAATAAAATAAACAGCTCTGATTATAGTGCTCCATAAAAATAGGAGATGCTCAATCCAGGTTTGTTTTTCCTATCTTTCCAGGCTAGTGGTTATGACATTCCACACTACCAGGAAGCAAGCTTAAGAGACTCAACTTTCGTCATAGTCTTAAACTCTGTGTTTGATATTTTGCTTATCCTCGTTTAGAGGTCATGTGAAAGACATGCAACTACTTTAGCATTATAGAAGAAAGCAATGTTCTTGAATTGGCATTAACCTAGATAGTTGGACCAGTGAACCAGTAAACAAGAATATTAAAGTTCATCCAGTTGAACTGGTCAACCCACAATCATGACAGTTTTCTAATTTCTAGTGCAACATCAGGGCCAGTCTTCAAAACATTGTAAGAAAGCGACTTTACTTTTTAGGGTATCAGTTAGCTTTTGGATCAGCTATATATTAAGAAGAATCAAAATGTAAGAAATAGAGTCATTTTCACAAGTGTTATTCTTCAGTTCCTCAAGTCCTGGAATGACTAAATACTCGTTCTAGCTTTGATTATTATCCCCTTCTCTCTAATTTAAGCTTTCTTGCTGCAATAATACACCTCTAGATTGGTAATATGAATACTTTAAAATCCTCACTCCTCAGTATTTGAAATTTTGGAGAATAAATGTTGGTAAGGATACATTATAGATTGAAGATCATCTATCAGAAAATTGAAGATGAAAACTCTTAATTTACAAAATTCAAAGTTGGAGTTACAAAAGAAAGACCCATGCTTGGTAAAATCACATATATGCCATGTTAGACAAAACCTAATTTTGTCGGTTTAAAGAAACTCAAATGTGCGGTATCTATGATTTTCCAGATATGTATACACAGAAACAGAAACAGGACAAGGGAATATGAATCCTATTGGTATGGGTATTCTATGTAATATGCTTATATTATACATTTATAACTAGTTTTTAAAGATAAATGTTATTTCTCAAGACTTAAGTCTTTCTGAATTTAATTAAAATTTTAACATGTGCAGATTCTTTATGGTATAATTTTTTGAAATATATTGTTTTACATATTTTAAAAGTGTTAATGATATAGGGTACATCTATAAGTGCATGCAGTATGCAAAATGGGTAAATAGGCGTGTACAGGTATCCAGGTATCATTAAGTATACAAGTATTTTCAACCAGAAATATAGCCACACAGAGGACAATCAATCAAAACCAACGAGAATATGTCTAGGTGGCTAGACCTCAGAAATGGTTTCTCAAGATTCGTGTCAGAAATATTGAGCAGAAATAATACATCTTATATATTAAACAGATTCTGCTAATTGCATTTCCAATTAACATTAAAAGCATTAAAAGAATTAAAAACAACTTTAATAAGTCGGTTCTTGTGATAAACATTGAATCCTTGAATATCAATATGATCTTTTGCATCCTTGACAAACCCAATTGTCACAACAGCAACCATCTGAAATCCAACATATGATGAAAGTCAGAGATTAAATCATCATGAATTAAAAAGACAGGTATAAATGCATAATGTCACAACGCGAGAATTACATTTGATTCCTTGGGAACCCCATATGCACCAGGCTGTGGCCTGTATGTGATTTTTTCTGTTAACATCATATCTTTCACCAAGTTGTGATGCTCAACATCTTTCCCACGTAGAATAATTCTGAAGCCATGTGGAAGTCTAAGATAAAGAATTGATGAATAACTCTGAAAAACAAGAAGATGAAATGATATCATGAAATCCCACATAGATGCATTATTAAAATGCCTAGCACTGGATCCTATTTTTAGAAGTCAAAACAATTTTAAGTGGATACAACAACAAAGTTGGAGTTGAGAACTTAACAAGTCAGGACAACATAGCCACATAATGATCATAGATTACTTCCAGTGAAGTCCAAAACCTACATATCCAAAGCACATAAAAAACTACATTATTGTGTACATATCAGAGCTCAAAATTATGTGGATCTGAATGCTCATCACATGCCTGCATGTTAACCATATAGCATACAGTAGCAATTCCGTAACACCATGCACATCAGCACATAATCAGATACCTCCTAATGTTTTTGATTCATGAACCATTTGCCCCAAAAGGAAGGCCTAGAGACTATTTTCCTTTCCTCTTACTCCTATTATTACTTCAAAGCATTGATGCATTAAAATTGGACTTTCCTCCTACTCCTTGGACTATTTTCCTATTTTCCTTTCCTCTTACTCCTTGGACTTCTTTTTTAGATAAAGTGCAAGTAATAGTAATAAATAATAATAATAAATTTATTATTATTCATTTCTCAAAGCTCACCAGGTGTGTGAAGAGATGGTGATAGCTGGTTGCAGTGACAAGAAAGCCAAACCCACCTAAGTCCCCCCAACTACCCAACCCCTTTTTTGTTGCATCCTTTTCTTTTTCCTCAATGGTTCATGGTGTGTTCAGTTTTTTTGTTTGGCACTATGAACTGTGAGTCAACCAAGATGATCATCCTTAGCCTGACACCATGAACTATTTTGCCCTTTGTAATTAAGGGGAAAAAAACTATTCCAATCTAGTGGCCAGAGATCATAAAATGATGTTAGACAATGACCCATTTAAATTGGACAGCAGAACCATCAAACCATCAACTACTAAGATAAGTGCCTTGGGAGATATCCTATAATAAGATAAGATAGTGTAACTCAATTTTAACATATTGATAGAGTGAACTAGCAGGGCAATTAATGTTTCCAACACAAATAGTTGAAATAAGGCTATGCTGAGCTGAGTTAGCAACAACACGTACAGCAACTTTTGAACAAGAATGTAAAATAAATTTTAGAATCTCTACCTAAGAATGCCACAAAAGTGGTTATAGAACCCCAAAACAAGAGCTAATATTATAATATACCCTTAGCGAATGTCGGTAAGTCAGGAAATGCCTAGAATTAGGGAACTGCTTTGCCATCTGTATCTTCTTCTCATCTCGATTGACACCTCTAATCTGAATATCCTGTAATTTCAAACGTTACAAATGAAATGATTAATTATATAGACACAAATCTCTTTTTAATCATCATATAGAGGTGTATACTATCTACCATGAATTATCTTCTTCAATCATAAACCAAAGACGACTTTTTTTTTTTTAATTTTTAACCAAAGAACCAAAAAAGTCAATCATTCAAAAATAATTAATAAACTTGTCTATATGTGTTAAAGAAGCTATAGGCTTTGAGAATGGAAGTTATAGAAGACATACATGAGGATCTGTGTCAAAATCAAGTTCCAATTCTCCTTGGTCATCCTCCCAAAGATTATATATGAGTATGCGTGTACCTTGTTCTTTCAAATAATTGAACTGTAAAAGCAAAAGCAGGAGATTATAAAAAGGAAAAGTGAAAATGATAGTACATAATAAGCTTTGGAGAAAAAATAATTGAGCTAAGGAAAAAAAAAAACAAGTATATGTCAAAAAACAAAGTTGCAATTTAAACATTCAGGATGGTCCACATTGTATGGGAGTACAGAAAATCAGGTAGCACACAAAATGGCTGAGGTTGTGGTAACACTATAACACATTAACACCATATGAATCAATGGATCACTCACAAATTGAAAGGATGAAAACACCATAGACCATATATACAAACATGTAGGGGACACATTTACTTTCCAATATTAATGTGTAATTCTCGCTGGTCGCTGCAATTTCATCCAATAGAAAAAGAAAATTTAGTTTTACCTATTCAAATGGAAATGAATTTTTCCATAATTTTATTCCCAAAGATCCAACAATATGGTGATCCAGTAGGAATTTATCTACCAAAAAAAAGTAGGAATTTATCAACATTTAAAGTTTATGAAGTCAAAATCAGATAAGAAAAGAATTGAAAAAAAGGAAATATTACTTTCAACAAATTAAGATAGTGTTTGGGATTGCTTTTGAGGTTGGAAAATTATCCAGGTTAGAGCATTTAGTGGAACTTCTCATAGTTGTCAAGGTGCCCCTAGGCAATAAGGAACTTTTAGGGATCACTCAACAAAGTACACATGTCTTGGCATCATCGCCAGGCAAGGACACACTTTTGGGGTTGCCTCAATTGGGAATAATATAACAGAGGCACTGCAAGGTAGGGATGCAATTTGGGCAGGGTAAGTCAGGTTTAAGGCCAAGCAGTCCTGGGTGGGTTGGTTTGACAAGTAGTTGGGTTTTAAGGTCTTCTTGCTCATGTTTTGCACTTTTACCTTTCATTTAGGTTTTATAGCCCAACTTAGAAGTAGAGTAAAAGAAAAATACATAAAAAAATGTCAATATATACACATACTAGCAGGGCCTCATGCGACGCATGGGCTTTGCTAATTCTCAATTGAACCTAGCAGGTTCATGTCCGATTCAAACATTATTTTTTGATTGTTAATTTTTTATTTTTATCAAGGTTTGTTAGGTAAATTTTCTTTAATTTATACTAATTATTATTTTAAAATGGAATAGTATTAAATTAACAATAATTAATTTCAAAAACAAAAAAAAATAGTCTTGATTATTAAATATTAATTATTTTTTCAAAAATATTGGTAACCATTTAGTACATGGCTAGTGAAAGAAACTGTGTAGTATACGGTACCATACCTGTATAGTATATGGTACTGTGAAGCACATGGGTTGATGTAGGGCACCCATATGCCAACAGACAATCGAAAAAGGAACTAATTGAACCTGTTTTAATCATCTACATTTGAATCCGGATTATACAAAACCCAATGATTTTGCTTTTTTCTAACAATTTCAACCAAAAACTGGCCATAAAGTCTATTATAGTGTAGTGTTTTCAATGTGAAAACTCTACGATTTTTGTTTTGCTTATTTACTACAAAAAAGAAAAAGAACAAATGGAATAAAAATTAGTATTAATTCCATTACTTTTTTAATATATTTGTATTTATTTTAATTTTAATAATAATATTAATTGTTTTTATATAATTGATATCCTACGTTCCATTGTATAGGTTATCAATATAGAAATGAAGGTTTATTTGGAACCTAGATACCATACAATGTATGGGTTGGCAAGAATGGGTTACAAGAAGCCGCCTACTTCATCTTCTTCACCCACATTGATAAAAACAATGAGGTAGGTTGGTTTGGTTTGGTGTCCTATTTCATCGTGCAATGCACGGGCTTTGTTGAGAAGAAGTAAAGCAAAAGGAATATTATGACATTCTTAACTGGGCTAAGCCAAACCGAATCCAACCCCAAGCAATATTTTTAGGTTTATATATTGTTTAATAATTTTTTTTTTGATAAATAAAAGTTCATTAAGAATTCATTATCAACAAAAGATAAAGATTGTTACAAGCATCCCGACGGGAGGTGCAAGATGCAGCCTCACCCTTTAAAAGAAAAGAAACAGCACAAAGATTACAATTGGGCCCAATACAACTTATCCCTAGTTACTCCTTGTTTGGCTAAACAATCAGCAAATGAATTAGCCTCCCTTCCCACCCATTGTATGATTAAATTCATATGTTGTGTTGCCCATTTGAGCTTCTTCAATTCATTTCTGTAACACCATATTATTAATTTTTTTTATTGTTAGTTAAATTTTTTGAAATAGGTAAAGTATAAGTTTTTATTATTGTCAATTAAATGTGTTTTGCTTTTTACTATTTTTATTATTTCTTCATTGTAAACTTTTAATCCAATTATTAATTATTCAATAATTTTATTATTTAATTTAATTAAGATAATATATTAAGTTATTATGAATAATTAAGTTTTATCAAGTACTTAATTTAATGAATTATAAGTCAAGTTATTTATTAAGTTATTTAATTCAAGTTAATCCCGTCCAAGTTGCAACCTTGACACAAGATGTGCAGACAAAAAAGTGCCAAACTAGGTAACAAAAAGACAAGGTCAGTGCCACATTGCAACCTAAACCAATTTTAGAATCAATGGAGGATGAAATCAGCTTCCTATTCCTAAACCAATTTTTGAATTCATGGGTGATACGGGTATTGGTATTTTTTTTACTTTTTTATATTTATTTTCTAGTTCTAGGTGTCTTAAGAATAGGATTTTTAAGTCATCTAGAATTTTACTCTTATTAGAAAATCAAAATTATTATTTATGGTAACTTTCTTACCTACTATTTATAGAAATTCCCTAATTACTATTTAAAGTAAAAGTACACTTAAATGTTTTTGGTAATTTCCAGTAGAATTATTTTAGGAGTTAGAGTCACTATTACTCTATTAGGAGTTAGAAGTTGTTTTGAGTTCGTTTCCTACTCCAAATTGGAGTTTATAAAGAGACATACAAATTCTCTCCCACCCTTCATTCATAGAAAAAGTTCTGACCCACAAGACTTTTTCCACATGTTCAAGATAGACCATCTTTCATGGACAACTTTGTATTAACTAAAAACTAAAATGATAAACAACTATTACCGATTAGGCAAAGCTCTAATACAAGGTTTGATGTAGGGTAGTACAGACTATGGGATTGAATTAGTGGGTCCCCTACAGGATGGATGGTCTAGATCTGACACGGGATTCATCTACATGGCAATTATAGGTAAGGTCATGCAGGGAGGGATCCTACTTGACCCAATTGGAAACCTCTTTCCTATGACAGATTACACTGAAAAAATAAAAGAAAGATGGGGAGTAAATTTGGTAACAAAAATTAGGGTTTCTGACAAAAAAGTGACCATACTCTCTTTTATTGTATGGTTATCGATATTTTCAATATGAAATCATAACAAAAAAGCAAGCGTATCTTATAAATTAAATCCTTTATTTGCCGAAGTTTCACCAAGGTGATGCCTAGACACTTAGGTGACAAGGCAGGCCTTTGCCCCTCAGCCCCATCTTGCCACCTTGACAATTATGGTATTTTTAATGTATAAATGGCTGTTCAACATAAATGAAATAGTGAGGGAAGAGAGATGTTTTGGCCTCTAAATTATTAGGACTACAAGGGTTTTCCAAGCTTCTAAGAAATAAAATAAAATGTATTTGCAATTTTTTAATTACTCATAAAAAATGAAGTTTCAATATTTACTGCTTCTAGCAGGAGTTAAAAAGCATAAGTAACAAAAGAAAATAAAGAGAGATAACTACCCTTACAGGTATAGACCTCACTGACCATGCATCTTATACATAATACATCAATATTTACAACAAAAAGTTAAATATACCTGTAAGCATCTATTTTAGTTATTACATTAGCCAATCAGTGAGTATCCTACATCCTGTAACTGGCAATTGTTCTCATACGAGACCAACAAAGCACATTCAATTTAAAAATAACTTATATGTTTATATGTCACAACAGTAGCTATTTTTTATTTTTTATACCTTATTATTGCACCATAAGTCCATAACAGAATGAAAGACCAAATCCTCTACCATAGGTGGAGCTTAATAGAAAATCATAATAAGAAATGTAATTACATATAATCATTTAAGTAGAAAAGAAAAATCACCTGCTGAAGAAGATCGTCTTCATCTGAATAAGGTGACCACTGTACAATAGTATCTAAATTTGTATTCCAATCACCAGGTGATGACCGCAACACCTTTTTCCAATTGCTTCCTACTTTCTCATAGTCGATCTTGTCATTTCAATGCCAACAACACAGAGGGGGGTAGGGAAGCAACAGCTTAAAAGAAGAAGACTGAGAAGTATATATCAAATATATAAATTCTACAATCATTACATAGCTTATTACTACGGGATTTGTGTTGTTACAGGCATATAGCTTAAAGGTGTTATATTCCTTAAGGCTCCATTTGGTTTGTGGGGTGGGAAGGGAAAATATGGAATATTCTTCCCTACCCATGTTTGGTTTGTGGAATGGGATGGGAGAAACATGGGATCATAGATCCCAATTCTTGGGATGTGGAATCCCACCATTTTGGTGAGAAACAAGTGGGAATGTAGAGGTAAACTTGTTTAACCAAAAAAATAAACACCTTGTAGTATTTCTAAAAAAGGGTCAGCCCAGTGCATGAGGCTCCAACCAATGCAGGGTCTAGGGAGGGAAAGACATACACAGCCTTACCCCTGTACACATAAAGAAGCTGTTTCCAAGATTTGAACCCTGGTCACCGAGGTTGCAATGGAGCAACCCAACCGTTGCGCCAACGCCCACCCTCACCTTCTTTATAGTATTTCTGAGAGAATATTAGACGCATAACCCATTAATAAATTATTAATTATATAATAGCATATTAAAATAAATTAAAATAATTAATTAATAACGAAAAATAATTTATTAATATTAAAATAATAAAACTATTAATTAAGTCATAGGTATTAATAAAATACAATCTTAACAATAACATAACAAACAAATAAAAACTAAGATAATAACTAATTAACTAATTATTAATTAACAACAAAATAGTTAATAATTAATTAAGTAATTAATGAATAAATAAATAATAAAAACGTTAAATAATTAATAATTCAAAATAAAATTTATTTAACTATTTCATAATAAATATTAATAATATAAAATCTTAAATAGATATTAAAATATGAATTCTTACTTAATAATTAATTAACTAATTATCAAATTAATTGATAAAATATTAATAATTAATTAATAATAAAGTATTACTAACTACCTAATTATTTAACTATTAGGGTTGATTTCCCCACTATTTTTCCTTTGGCAACCAAACAAAACGTGAAAATTTTTCACCCATTTTCCCTTTATCATGCCATCCCACCAAAATCTTCTCTCAAACCAAACACAGCCTAAAAATCATCATAATTCACTAGAACATATTTTTAACCTTGATACTAGAAACTCAACAGAGTTAACCTAAAATCCTGATAGGGTAACACAGAAAAGAACATGCTCTAAGAGTTCTTAAACATATCCTTACCATGGGGACTACAATATCCTCCTTCCCTGTACTCCTCAAAAATGTGTACGAAAGCATTCCAATACTTTGTGTGGGGCTAAAGGGAAAAGTTCAGATGAAACAATTAGTTTTGATAGTAAAGATAAAGATGTTACAAATTACAAATCAAATGCGTATAATAATAAGAAAATCCAACAAGTGAACATGTGCAATAAATACAGAACAAAAGATTAATAAACCCAAGTTACAATTAACCCACACATAAAACTAACAAACTAGCAACTAAACATGAATTGCTTTCAACTGGATGGAATCCTAGATCTACAAGCTTTTGGAACCCCATAGTGGATAGTTTTTCGGAGAAGTTGGTGGCAGAATAAGAACTATGTTTCATTAGCTGGAAGAATTACCCTTAGTAAACTTGCCTGTTTATTTCCTTTCAGTAGCTTCTAGTGAAGGTGGCAAAGACTCTTGAAAGAATCATGAAATATTTTATTTCCTTTGGGAATCAAGGGAGGGTAAGAATGCCATCTTGTCAAGTAGACCATAGCATGTAGAAGGAAAAGCGATGGGGGTTTTGGTATGGGTGAATTAGGATGAGGAAATTGTCATTGCTGGGCAAATAGCTTTGGAGGTTTCCCTTGGACTCAGACAAGTTGTGGCATGATGTGATCAATAGCATTCATAGTTTGGCATCAAATGGTTGGGAATGCCAGGGTGAATCCTAGGGCCACCTTAAAATTCCCATGGAAAATTATTGTGGATATCCTTGATTCTTTCCTTCCTTGGACTCATTAATTTTTTTTTTTATCAGTAACTCATAAGAAGAATTTATTAATTTTAAAAGAAAGCAAAGAAGCAAGACATTGTGGAAAATACAACAGGCACCAAGTGTCTAGACCTCCCAAACATATTATAGCTGAGCCCAAAACATACTCTGTCTCCGAACCCCTTGCATAGCTAGACCATCTGCTAGGCTGTTGGCAGATCTTCTAACCCAATTAACCTGAATAGACATGCCCCTAGAGAGCCATTTGAAACACCTAAAAACATTCCTTAGATGCGTTCAACCAATATTTTGGAGTCGCCTTCAATAATTAACCATTCAATAGTCAATACCCAATTCTTTGGCTTTCTCAACTACAAAAACAGCTGCCTAAAATTCTGCAGATGCCACATCACCTTGCTCAATTGGACCTGAGAATAGAGCACACATATTTCCTTCTTCATTCATCTGTGATAACTCCTCCAATTCCGGAGGGGCCAGGATTGCCCATACAACTCCCATCAAAATTCAGCTTCAGCCAGCCACTTGATGGAGGTGACCAGTCCACTGATGCTATCTGTCTTCTAGAAGAGGAAGCAACAATTGCTCCCCAAGATCTGAAAAACTCATCAACCTGAATATCTGAAAACAGATCCAATGCTTTAACCCTATGAGCCACCCCCTTATGGTTATGATCTCGATCAAGGCTTCCTTATTCCATTATGATGTGCCAAGTGGATTAAAAAGTCAAATTTCTTGAGGATCTTAGGGTAGGTGACGGGTGACCAACCATTAAGGACAGATTCCTTGCCTTTTTTGCCCTATCTAGAATAAAAACAAGCCTATGTCTCATTGTGTCAACTTTTCTAACTCAGGGCTGGGTGGGATTTGGGCCTTTGTAGGGGATTAAGGGAATGTGATGTGTCCTTTGCTATTGCTTCAATGTTGTTCAGTTTGCTTGAGGGTGTCTCCCTTGATTCTTCCTCCTCAGATTTAGAATCTGGATGCCCAACTCCCTAGGATCTTCTATTGTTCTTCCTTCTTTTGCATCCTTTCACCTCCTCCTCCTCACCCCCAGCGGTTTTCCTGGTTCAGACTTATGGAAGGGGCCCATCCCTTCCAAGATTAAAGCTTTTTGCTGGGATTGTTTACACCAGAAGGTTAATGCTGTGATGTCCCACAAAAAAGAAGGCCAACTTGGAGTATCTCACCTCACATTTGTTTCTTGTGTATGGCAAGTGGTGAAACTACCTATCACTTGCTAATCACCTGCCCCCTTGCTAAACTCTTGGATACAGAAATAGCATTGTGGAAGATGACTCAAAACCAGTGATAAATTGACTGGGCAAAACCTGTCAAGTGACTTGGAAATTGCAACAGCCAGTCAAGGCAAGAGACATTGCTATGGAATTGAATACCAGGATTACATGGATAAGGAGGTCAGCAAATGGAATGACTGATACATTAACCAGACTTGGAACCAGCAGGAATCAATCAATTTGGGGGACGGGTATGAATAAGAGAATAAAATGATGTAACACACACAGTCACACACAATTCAAATGAGGAAGGAAAGTGGGTTGGGCTAAGCTGTAGCAGATGCTAAGCACTGATTGTAATTTACATTGTACATTATTCTGTTTATAATTAATAAAAAGGTCACTGTTACCGATCAAAAAACAACGATTGCTTTCAATATTATCTATTTGAATAAAGCACAGCAAGGTCCTGCCATATATGGTCACTTCTTCATAGATTTGTATTTAAATGAACTACATTTCTAAATATGGAAGGGTTTGCCATGCCTGACATATTGTACTTGTGTTGAAAGTAATGGCATTCCCATTGAATTACCAATTTCATGCAAATTTCCTTTGTCCATGATATTTAATTTCTTAAAAAAGGGAAGCATCTTGAAAAAGAAGAAAACTGGCCTATGAAATAACCTATCTTGAAATAAATGATGCTATTACCTTGAAAAGAGCCAGACAATGTTGCATCAAAAATGACAATGATACAGACATACCAAAACCTAGAATATCATATTCTAGTTATTTGTCCATTGGTGGTACATATAATGTAATAATATATCACCTTTCCATGACAAATCAGTGAAACACCTAATTAACTAATCAATTTAATTTAACACTTAAAAAGGTTCCTTGAAGCATAATCTTTGAAGCCAGAGTTCCTTTCTGTAGGAATTAACTCAGAATGACCTTTTACATGTTAATCTAGAAATGCAAGTGCATTGGTCCCTATCAATGTGATTTGGTAGCGTTTACAGGCCATTACTAGGCCACGAGCTATAAAGGCTCTATGAACTTTTCATTTTAATTTGACTGCAATCAGAGGTTGTTCAGAGAGTTCTAAAAAAGCACTCTGTGAAAGTGTATAGGAGACGGGCGGTTAAGAAGAGGGTGTCATTTCACTTACCAGCAATGGAGGAGGAGTGGACAAGCTGGACATCTGGTGGCAAGGAATGAAGAGAGTAATGCTATCCAGGACAAGAGCTGCTAAAGGCTCAGCTTAACAACATCAAGGGCACCGATGAGAACATAAGACTCTTCAATGTTTTTTTTTTTTTGAGATATTAAAAGACTTTTCAACAATTTAATTGCAGAACACCTTCCTGCAAGGTGATGTCGACAGATAGTCAGTATGGTATATGAGCTGTTCACCACCAGAGACTGTTAAGGATGCAGTGGCAGGTTCCTGCTCCCACCCTCTACAGATATATGATGAGAACTATGCAGATGAGAGGTTGGAGAACTCTGTTGGATATGTAGATAAGAGAGAAGAGGAAGGGGATAGATGAGGCCAGAGTCTTTTGGTGGTTAGGACAATTAGGATGAGAGGGAGAAGTATCTTGTTGATATGATACATAAACGCATCTGTTCCTTTTGAGATAGTAGTGGCATATAGAAACAGGTGGCTAAGCCCTAGCACTGTTTTTCTTGGGCAGGGGAGTTGCAGCCGAAGAGACCTTTAGAGGAAGTTCTCTTTTCTTTATTTTTGAGAGAAGGAGAGAGAAAAAGAGAGAAACATTTGGAAGAAGATGACAGGAATAGAGAGGATTTCAAAGTAGGGAGTGGTTGCTGGTCAAGCAGGAGAGGAATGTGGCTAGAATAGCAATCATGACTCATGAGAATAGTGGTCAGGTGGTTAAAGGAAGATGAAAAAGAAAATTGTTTTGGGAACTCTAGAGGAAGAGAAGGGATAGTAGAAGCAAGGAAGAGGCTGTGTAGCTGGACCTTAATGTCTGCAATAGCATTTACGAGTTGGGGAGGTACTTCCTGTGGAGGATAAGTGACTGCAGGGTTGGAGGAATGTTCCACTTTTTTTTTTGTTTCTTGTTTCTTTGATTAGTTAGCCTTTTGCAAATTTTATATGAGGGGTAACTATTGTGGATTTGTATATTGTAGGGGCTCATTGTGTTGTTTGGGAAAATCTCACCCATCCTTGAATTTCTATATAAATTTTATTTTATTATTCATAAAAAATGTAGAAGTGGGAAATAATGGTAAAGAACATTTCTAACCTTTTCCCATCTTTTCCATGACAACGTGAAAATACAATAACATCTGCTCCAAGCCTCATGGTACTTGTCTTGAAGCCATTTCCATCTAGAAAAGAGAAATAGCATAATAGCAAAACAATAAACTTAAAAATATGAAATCCATCAATAATAAAAATAATAATTATATTATATCTGGTCTCTGTCAGAAGTCAGAACAGATTGCTTAGAAAGCAAATATTGTTGTCTTCTGTGGAAAGCACCTCTCTGTATGAATATAACTTACATTGTCCAATTGTATTTGCCAATTTGCTTTTTGCAGAATATCCAAGAGACATGCATTGTCGCATTTTATCTGGATCCATCCCACCACCATTATCTGCAATAACAAAACATCATAAACATAGACATGACCATGAGAATCAAAGGTTCAAGATGATTCATGACAATTCTACAGCATTATCCATCAATATGATGCCACTTTAAGTCTAGAATTTTCCATAAAAGCATCTTTGTGCAAATTTTAAGTATCGGACTAATATAATCCGAAGGCTGGACCATCCTGACCTATTAAAACTTAAAAGAATAGGAAAGCGCAAGTTCTGTGTTATGTGTGTGTAGACATAAAAGATATGGCATATTTGAACGAGTAGAGACACCAATTCATCTTCCTTATTCTATCTTCTATGTAAGGATTGTTTTTCTCGTCTCTGTCATCTCAGGTTGACAAGCATGAGAACACAGATTCAAGTTTGAGACTGGCCACTTTGTGCAAAAATGACAAAGGAAATAAAGTATTCAAACCAACATTTTTCCCATTACTAATAGTGCTTGGTTAATGCCACAACCACCAACCTACTGAACCTCTAGGGTTCACCAGACCATATTTGAGGCCAACCTGGATTGGCTGCACTATCAACTCCCACCTTCATAATGCAGTATGGTAGCAACATCGGAGGTAATAAGACCACAAAAATAGAAACAAGAAAAATCAGCTTCATACCTTCAACCAGCAACACTCTGCTACCATCCTTTTCATTTTTCAGCATATCTATATTAACATATGTAGCTCCATGGCATATCTGACATCAAGGTGGAAGATAAATTGTATAAGGCATGGTTTGGTACAAACAATATAACAAAATTAAAGACATAAAGCAAGCAAACAAGAACCAAAAAAAAAGAAAGAAAAAATACCTCATCTAAAGAATTGTCCAGGAGCTCTGCAAAAGCTGTAAAAGGAGAAAATGAGAAGCTACCAACAATACAAGATGGCCCACATTCATAATTATATGTCAAAACCCACAGACATGAAAATTTGCACAAGAAGTTGAGAAAAACTAGGCAAGGGAAACATACCTCCAAGAGCCCATTTATGGCTAGTAGCATTTGAATGCAGAAACTTGGGATGCACCCTGACATGATCCATGCCACCTGCAAAACATATGGGGAAAGAAAATATTTTTTATCAGTAACCGGAACTTAATTAATATGTAAAGCACCATAAGTTCCAGAAACAAAATATAAGACAATTGCCCATAAGTTCCAAAAAGAAAAATGTAAAAGCACCATAAGTTCCGAAACTTAATTAATATGTAAAAGCTGTAGAGATACTTGATGTAATGTTGTTCTATGGCCCCTGTTGTACCATAGCATTCTTTTTCTTTCTTATCTTTCAGCCCTCCAAGGGCCTCTTTGTAATTATTCTTTTTTATCTTTAGCCCTTCAAGGGCCTCTTTGTAAATACATATAACTAATAACTAATAAGATATATAGGCTCTTTGGGGGTGGGGGTCAACCATTCAGTTTGACGCCCCTGAAACTCTTGGTGTTCTCTCAACCTAGAAGAATGACATGGTACCATGGCAGGCCATATCCTTCAGCTGCTGATTTGTTTGAGTTTTGGGGTGATTAGTAGACTGCTTAAGGAGTATTTCGATCACTCTCAAATCCTGGTTGAAGTTTTTTTAAGTGCTGTTTTGGATCAGATGAAGCTGATATCCTTTTTCCTGGAAAAGCCCAGCAGGTCAGATTTTCTTCTTTTTTTAAAAATTGGCTAATTCAATTAGCCTAGAACTTTGTAGTTGGTGTCACCCAGGCCTTCTTTATCTGTTCATCATTCTATCGATCCCATCTTGTTGTTGACAGTCCTGAAACTTACCATTTTAGGACTGAGATTGATACAGCCCTCTTTTGAGATTTCTGTAGCAGACCTCAGTTTTTTCGGTGAAGTATTATTTCAGCATTGTTGTTGATTTGCTACTGATCTTAATTGGGTGATTAATCACCAGTTTCTTGGACTGTTACCCTCTCTTGAAATCTGTTAACTTATTTTAGACTTTTGAAATGTCTGAGAAGGTTGATATCATTCCTATAAAGTTCGATGGAACTAACTACAGCATGTGGAAGTTCCATTTCGACTTCTTTGTTGAAGGAAAAGGCCTAGAAGGATATTTGGATGGGAAGATTATTAAGCCAGATGAAACTGATATCAAAGGATATGCACAATGGAAGTTGGATAATGGGAAATTAGTCTCTTGGATACTAAGTTCAATTGTTTCTCATATTGTTGTACCCATGAGAATGATGCATACAGCTTATGAGATGTATGCATACTTGAAGAAAGTGTACCATCAATCAACATGTCCAAACAGTATCAGATTGAATCTGAAATATTTTCCTACTGTCAGGGAGATAAGAAAATTTAGGAATATTATGCCGGTTTTATTGATTTGTGGGAAGAGTATGAACTTGTCAATACAAAATCTTCAGATCCTGTAGAATGTGTCAAGTATCTCCAGCAACACTTTGAGAAAATAAAAGTGAATCTGAGATTAGCAGGTCCAACATACTGAGTAGAGGGACTATTCCAGATTTGGATTCAGTGATGGGGGACTTGTTGAGGAAGGAGACTAGACTTTTAACTGCTGCAAGTTTTGATGGAAAATTAATTGACTTTAGGGCTGATACAGCTTTTGTTGTTCATGGAAATAAGAAATCTGGGGCTAAGGACTTCTCCAAAATACAATGTTATGATTGCAAGGGGTTTGGACACATTGCATCTCACTGTAAGAAGAAGAATGTTTGCACCTATTGTAAGCAGCATGGTCACATCATCCTAGACTGTCTAGTTAGACCATCTAAAGGTGCCCAGAAGAAAAACCAACCACGTGCATATCAAGTGACTGAGGGCCAAATAATTGATGCTTCCTCTTCCAAGGGTGATTCTTCTACTAAGGGTGAACCTTCTGCATCTCCTGTATCTATGGATGAAATTCAGCAACTGGTATCATTTGCTAATTCCTCCACTTTTTCTGTCATTGGCCTGTTTGGTGAGTTTTCTAGTTACTATTCTTCTCAGTCTCATATTTGGATCATTGATTCCAGAGCAACTAATCATATGACAGGAACTTATTTTGAACCCCCATATAGCATTCCTAAATCCCATCATAGACATATAATTACTACCAATGGTGAAAAACTAAATATCATTGGTAGCAATGACATTTCCCATAAGTTGTCATCTACTGCCTCTTTTCCTCTTACCAAAAACTCAACAAAATGGAGTGGCAAAGCGTAAGAATGGTCATGTGCTCAGTGTTGTTAGAACCCTACTACAAGAATCACATGTACCTTCTTCCTTTTGGGTGGAGGCTGCTAGTACTGTTGTTTTCATGATTAACTATGTTCCCTCATCAGTTCTAGCTAATATGTCCCCTTTTTCAAATACTGTTTGGCCGTTCACCAGACTTATCTAGCCTACATGTTTTTAGGTGTCTTTGCTTTGTTCATCTTCCTCCTCATGAACGTACTAAGTTATCTACTCGGTCTGTTATGTGTGCCTTTATGGAATATAGTCCAGATCACAAAGGATTTCTTTGTTATGATCCTTCTGCTCGTCGTATTTGTGTTTCTCGAAATGTTGTTTTCCTTGAACATATCTCCCTTTTTGCTGTTGTTGCAAAGTTATCTGCTCCATCTATTTCTGTCTTGCAGAATTTTGACTCACTGAATGCTTCTCCTCCTACTGGTGTGAAGGAATTTCTTGTCTTCTCTCGCAAAAGATTATGCGCCCCAGATCCTACGCCTCCAACCTCACTTCCTCCTGGCTTGGATCCTCCCCCCACTAATGCTCCTGTAAGTAATGTTCCTTCAGATTCTCTTCCTTCCACATCTCTTTGTCGTTCCTCTCGTATTTCTCAACCCCCTAACCACTATGGCTTCCCTTCAAACCATAGTTCTTTTTCTATTGTGTTATCTGTCATAGAGATTTCCCGCTCATATAAGCAAGCCATTACCAGTCCTCATTGGAAAGATGCAATGTATGCAGAAATTCATGCCTTACAGGAGAATGACACTTGGGATTTGGTGGTCCCTCCCCTAGATGCTTCGTTTATTGGAAGTCATTGGGTTTACACGGTTTGAAATCAAATGGCTCGTTGGACCGGTACAAAGCTAGGCTTGTTGCTCAAGGATACACCCAAGAGTATGGCATTGATTATGAAGAGACATTTGCTCCTACTGCCAAGATTACTACAGTCTGTATCTTCCTAGCTTTATCTGCTACACATTCATGGGCCATTCATCAGTTAGATGTGAAGAATGCTTTTGAAGGAGATAGTATACATGAAGCCTCCTCCTAGATATAGTGGTGATCCCTCTCTTGTTTGTCAGTTAAAGAAATCCTTATATTGTCTCAAACAAGCTCCTCGGGCTTGGTTTGAAAAATTCTGAGATGTTGTAGTGGCTGCTAGCTACAATCAAAGTGCCTCTGATTATTCTCTCTTCATCCGTCAAAGACCACAAGGCATTACCATCTTGTTGTTGTATGTAGATGATATGTTATTGACAGGGGATGATAAGGTTGGAATCCAAGAACTTAAGTCTCTTCTCCACAGTTCCTTCCATATGAAAGATTTGTGTTCTCTTACTTATTTCTTGGGGTTGGAAGTACATCATAGCAACCGTGGTTACTTTGTTTGTTAACGCAAGTATGCTTCTGATCTTATTAAGCTTGCTGGCCTTACAGACACCAAACAGGTTGATACACCTATGGAACTCAATGTCAAGATGTCCAAATCCGATGGGGCCTTGCTTTCTGATGCTACTCTATATCGACAATTGGTTGGGTCTCTCATCTATCTCACCATGACTCGTACAGACATTTCCCATGCGGTTCAGGTAGTTAGTCAGTTCGTTTCAGCCCCACATGACTGTTGTCCACCGGATTATCTGTTATGTTCATGGTACTCTACCTCGAGGACTGTTCTTTTCTTCTTCATCTCCTCTTTAGTTGAGAATTTATGCAGATTGGGCAGGTTGTCCTAACACCATACGGTCTACTGTCATCTATTGGGTGGTGTCTTTTTGAGAGACTCCCTTATCTCCTAAAAGGTAAGAAACAACAGACAGTTTCTAAGTAATCTACAGAAGCCGAATACAGGGCTATGTCATCGGTATGCAGTGAGATTGTTTGGCTTCAATCTCTTCTTGATCTTGGTGTTCACCTCCCCACGCCTATTCCTCTCTATGCTGACAACACTAGTGCTGTCAAAATTGCATCTAATCCAGTGTTTCATGAGAGAACCAAACACATTGAGGTGGACTAACACTTCATTAGGGATCTATTTCTTGTTTGATCTATTTCTTGCTGGCTCTATTTCCCTTCCTCATATAACTTCCAACTTCTAGATTGCTAACATTCTCACAAAGCCTATGACGAAATCTAGACATCTATTTCTTGTGGGCAAACTAATGCTTATGTCTCAACATCAGTTTGAGGGTGAGTGTAGAGATACTTGATGTAATGTTGTTTTATGGTCCCTATTGTACCATAGCATTCTTTTTCTTTCTTATCTTTCAACCCTCCAAGGGCCTCTTTGTAATTATTCTTTTTTATCTTTAGCCCTTCAAGGGCTTCTTTGTAAATACTTATAACTAATAAGATATATAGGCTCTTTGGGGTGGGGGTCGACCATTCAGTTTGATACCCCTGAAACTCTTGGTGTTCTCTCAACCTAGAAGATTGACAAAAGCACCATCCCTCATTGGTTCAAGATCATTGCTTCCCTTCATACTTTTACCGAATACCGATTGACGAGGGGCAATTTGACCCGTCCAATGATGTGACGACACATGGAATGATGAAATGATGTGGTGACACCTCAGCGACCTCGGGCACCTCAACAATCCCAGCCACCTCGCGCACCTCAAGTCACCCGGCTAGATTGAGGCTCGAGTAGCTCAATTATATGCACTGACCTATCGAGGCACCATGTAACCTTTATCTAGAAGTAAGCCAATTGTCTCCGATCTCCTTGGGATCACGGCACCACGTCAACAGTTTATCTTCTCCCCACCCGATTCGAACGGACTTGTATAAGCCTTATCAAATTCAAATTACATAGAGTCTATCTTTGGGTGTGAAACCAACT